ATATATATATATATATATATATACATCGATAGAGAGAGAGAGAAAAAAAAAAGTTTAATCGTTGATATCTGATCCGTATTTTTCTACGAGTTTATCCATTTTTGTGTTATACCAATGCTGCAGCCTTTTCCATATTCCTGGGTTTATTGGTGGTTGTAAATTATATTCTGCATTTTCTATGAAATCTTTGTATCTTTGTTTATTTTTTTCTTGTGTTAGTTGAAAGTCTTTGATTTCTTTTTCGTATATATTCACAGCATTATTCATTTCTTTGTGTTTTTTTGCTTCTGCTTTTCTTTTTTTCTTCTCTTCTTTCTCTTTACTAAATGTTGGTATTTTATCTATAAATTCATTTATATTGGGAGATGTATGCTCTTCTTGTTTATTTAAAGAAGAAAGATCTAATATAACTCCATCTTCATCTGTTGTATATACTTCTTGCCCATTATACATTGTTGGTGTTTTTGTTTTTTCTTTATTTGTATCTTTATCGCTATTATTGTTGTTGTTTGTGTTGTTTTCTTTGTTTTCTTTGTTTTCTTTGTTTTCTTCTGTTGTTAGTTTCGGCTCCACCATAAATTTCATGTTTTCTTCTTTATCTTTTAGTTCTTCTTCATCTTGTAAAATTTCTAAATCCTCTTCTTTTTCTTCTGTTGCTGGCTGTTTGTTGTTTTCTTCTTCTTTTGCTGTAGTTGTTGCTTCGAGTTCATCTGCATCAACAAGCAGCTGCTCAGCATCTCCTTCTAGATCATCTTCTCCGTATATTTCTTTTTTCTGTTGTTTCCCCTCTTGTACTTGTTCTGTTGGTGGTTTAGTATTCAATTCACTTTCATAGTCAAAGTCAGCTACATCTACAGCATCATCCTCCGCTGCATCAATCGGTATTTCTCCCTCTTCTTTTGTATCTGAAGCAGCAGCAATCCATCTCTCAATAGAAACAGAAAGAAACACCAAACTTAGAGAAAGCAGACAAAGAGATCGCCGGGTGTACATCTTTGCAATACATGAACAGGGTGATGATGAGCGCTTCCCTAGAAAGGAATCGAGGCGTTCAGAGTCAGTTATGCATCAGAAAGGGGAATAAAAGCTCTAAAAAACCCCTCAAATAAAAAGAAATTATAAATATATTCAAAAAAAGAATAAAAAACCTCGGGGTTTCCTCGTTACCCGGCGGAATACAGAGAAGACGTCGTCCTGCTAGCAGCGGCCAGGTCCACTGTGAGTAGTTTCGTTGGTGGTTTCGCGTAGAAAAAGAGAGAAAGCTGCAACAATATTAGAATACAGAATATAAATTGTATTAAATTAATATTATAAACAAAAAGAAATTGATTTAATTCATAAAAATGCTGAGGTTTCCACCTATGGACGCCGCAGCAGTTTCGAGTTGAATGAGCTGCCGCTCTCTGTGCAAGAACCGATCAACAGGCGAAGGAAAGGGAGGAATACAGCGAGAAAGCAGAAGTTTTTTGTGTATTTATTCATTTAATTTATAAATTAATTCATTTTATTTCAATTTTTTTGATCAAAATTCAATAAATAATATATAATACCCCCACCCATTCATGTTTCTGTATGTAGCGGGGTCTACCCAGTCTACACCCAGTGAACCAACGGACCGATATTCCTTGTGTTTCTCTCTATTCCGCTGTATAAACCACCAAACTTTTGCCAGTTTATTAAAGTAATAAATAAATTAATCATTTTATTTTCCTCTCATTTCTATTAACTAACCTCCTGCGAGCAGCAGAAGGACGAGGCGCACAGGGCGCAGGTGGTGGTGTGCATAGTTAGTGTTTCTCTCTATATTTAAATTAAATAAAATACTTGCAATACATTCTTCATCATATCTAATTACTTTTTCCTTTTTTTTATGCTACGCAGCTCTCTGCATATGGTGCGGGGGGCTGCCTACCAACCGCCGCTACTTACGCTCAACTGCATCTAAACCCTAAACCCTAAACCCTAAACCCTAAACCCTAAACCCTAAACCCTAAACAAGATGGAGGTTTCTTCCTTTTCATCTCTAACAACAATTATAATATATTTAAAAAAGAATCAGAGTTAAATTCACAACTACAATAACAATAAAAAAATACAAAAAAAAACTACAAATATATAGAAAATTATAAATAAAGTGAAAAAGCTACAGATACAACTATGATTACATTTATAAATTTAAATACAATTACAGGCAACACCAGGATTATACTATAAAGTAATATTATATATTGAATTCTAATTATAAATACAACCATATATATATATATATA